GGAAGCCTCAACAATTATGGACCCCAAAAGATCATCTGCTCTTGCTTGATCTTCAAATAAACTTCTGCATGTGCTGATCTCCAGAGGGTTCATTTGGTATTTGTTCTCCGACAGACTATCTTCCACTCAACAGGGTCACAGCTGGTCCTAGCAATGCCTCGTCTTAATAAATGGATCTGCCTATGTGTTGTTTTATGATACAAGAACACTAAACGGGCTGGGCATTTTTATAATATGTGGGGCAGCTCCTCCAATACCAAATCCAGCATCTGACTTGCTTTTTGGGGTCAAAAAGGTCCACATGGCAATTGCAACCATGTAATCAAAGCCCCACCTTTTTTCACATGTTGCTTACACAATGCATGTAAAAAGGGGATGGGGCTTCAATCCAGTGGTCATACCCACTCTTGACTTTTTTGACCCCCTTGCAGATGCTCCTGACAAGGAGTTATATAACCAGCTCATTAAAGGCAAATGAGGAGTAAAAAAGTGGGAACTGCACAGTCCCCTACAGGTAGGCCTCGCTTAACGACAGTAATTGGGACCAGAATTTCCATCACTAAGCGATGCAGTCGTAAAGCGCGATGTCACATGACTGCATCACTTAATGATGGCAATCCCTGCAGAGATAGATTTAGCTGTGATCCGGTTTTAATTTCTGAACCACTTTGAAAAGCCAAATGGATTTAATCAGGACTTTGGAAATCAAATAGATTCGAACTCTTAAGCTGATTTGGGAAAAAACCTTTTACCCATGCTCAAAAGCCTCTCACATTTCTGAAACCGGTCCAAATTGTGCTAAATTGTTTTGGCTGCTTCTGACTGACCCTTCAGATTGCTTTAAGTAGCCAACCCCCATTAAATGGTTGAATCAATTGGAGTAACTCTGAATCCAATCTCCTGATCAAATGTTCATACAGCCCCAGCAGAGAATTGAAAAGGGCTTCATATTCACTCTTTCCACCACTGCTCTTCCAAAGCCATATTTCACTTGCTAAGGGAATATTTGAAGAAGGGTGGACAAGCTGTGCTTTGTTGGGGCTTATGCCAATTTCAGAAGTCTGCAGGAGGAAAAGTTCAGATCATTGGTCAGACGAATCTGGGGAGAAAATGGCAGCTGGCTTCTAGAAGACAGAGAATTGGGTGCCAGAAAGAGAAAAAGAGGGGTGTCTAAAGAAGAGCAGAAAGAAAGAATATGGATTTTGGTTGGGATCCACCCAGCCCTGCTCCTGTAAGTGATGTTTTTAACAAGAAGCTGCCCATATTTCCTAGTTTTTCAAAAAGCCTCTGGATCCAGCCTCTTACAGTTAAATCTCAAAAGAAAAGCTTGCAAGAAAAGAAGCAGGGAAGTTGCAAATTGCTGGAAAGAGGATTGTTCCATGAAAGACAAATTGCAATCCTGGGCCCCCTCTTCCCTCTATACAGAGGAAGATACTCCATCTCAGCTAAGAGATTTTTCCAATGTTTTCTTTTGCTTTATAAAAATCAATGCATAAGTAGATAAATAAAATTAAAAAGTTTGAGGGTTCTTCTTTTTAATTGAAAGAGTAGAGTTCAGTGTGCAATAAAGATGTTCAGCACAATCCTATCTAGATTTGATGGAGAACTGGAGAATGTTTTATTGCAAGCCCAGAGTCTAACGGATATGTGTCATCTCGTAGCTCCAAAGTGCCTTTCAGTGTCCAAACTGGGATCTTCAGACATCTGCCCTACATGTCTCTTAGAGGGTATAGAGAAGAGTGCAATTACTTCAAAATCCTATTTCCCTTCCTCAATCCACCCTCAACCTCCTCTCCTGCATTCTCCCCATTCGTAAAAGGTCTTGCAAAGATGCAAATGACATCCAGCTGCTTTGCTTTGATCCCACAATCGCCTTCATATGCTTTGCCGGAGCACTTCCTCCTCTTGTTATTCCAAACCATGTGATTGTGATTGGACATCAAAGCATTCGTTTATGAGCTCTAACCTGAAAAAGCAAAACTGTACAAGAAGAGAGAGTTTTCACCCCCACCTCAACATTTTGGAAGAGCGCTTGGGAGAGAACACAAAAATGTATTTGTTCCTTCTCCAGTTTAAATGCATATTTTTTTCTTCCCTGTGAAGGGAGAAGAGACAGCTTTCAAGATTTCATAGCCTACAGCTATGGCTGAACATCTGCCCAAATTTTAGAAATCAGCACTTAAGAAACATTATGGATTCCCACCTTCTGGCTAATCCATGTTTTTTTTTTAACCACAGGAATATGAATAAGGTTCATATATAACACTAAGCCATAAACAAACCACAGTGGTTATCACTATACAGTACATTAAGCCAGATCCAAGCAAGACTGAACCCTCAACAGTGAGTGGTTTACAAGTGAGGTAGGACCTGCTTATGATTAGAATCTATAGATTATTTACTTTTGGAAGCTGAAGTTTAAATGTCTTGGTTCTAAGCTTTCATCTTTCTCTCACAGTTGTAAAATAACTTCTTTTTCTCTTAGGCAACCAAGTTGTTGGGTAACTTGGACTTTTTCAATAGTTGGGTTCATACATATTTATTTTTGCAAAAGTTTCAGTGCTCCACCTTGTGGTCTGAAGATATACACACATACATTACGTATACATGTACACATACACTCCCAAGGTTATTCTTACAGCCCATTACATACACATTGCACACAGACAGCGAGAAGACCTCTGAAATTCTCTAGCAGTTGGGATTCCAGCACACCTGCAGGATTCCAGATCAAGACTTACTGAAGGTGGTCTCTTCTTCACACCATACATTCCTTTGGCTTATAGCAGTGTGTACTTCCTTAGGTGTCCGCAGGAGACATTTGTGTCAACTATGCATAATTAATATATTTGCATCAGACACTATGAAAACTGTTTGTGTGATACATAGACATAGATGAGAACCTGAGTGGTGTAGTGGTTAAGAAGCTGGACTAGAAGTGGGAGATCCAGGTTCTAGTCCTCCCCTATGCATGGAAGCTAGCTAGGTGACTTTGAGCTAGTTACTCTCTTAGCTCTGGGAAGCCCAAAAAACATTGACTGGACCAATGTAGTAGATTATGATCCATGAAAAGACCTTCCTTCAGGAGTGGATTGATTCAGGCTAACAACACTAGTAGTAATAATAGATCTCGATCTAGATAGATAGTGTAGAGTTTCCATGAGTTGCTTTTGCTTCACCTTGTCTGGGCTCAGAAGCTAAGCAGAGTTCTTAACACGGTTAACATGCTTCTTCATCATCTACATGATCCCTACTTGTTCTGAAGAGCTCAACAGGGCTACCATGATGTTGAGTCATTTTATTCAAAGCTATCATCACAGCAAATGGTGAAACCTAGGCATCCTTGGCTGAGTTCGCAAAAGATGTGCAAAGGCTGATCTGATTAGTTGTTAAATTAGAAACTATCAAAAAAGCCTAAGGACGTAAACTAGGCAGGCAGGCAGGCAGGCTTGCCAAGATAACTTCATGAAGTCCCCTCTCTGCTTTTGGGGAGCTGTCCTTGCTTCCAAATCACTGAGTTAATCACCTGATTATCATTCCCCACACAATCAATTTTGCAAACCAAGGTGCTGGTGGTCCCCCTTAAAGCCCTTCTTGGCCTTCTCTCAGTAGGTTGAAGAAGGGTGGACAAGCCCATCTGATAAGATCTTGCAGGACTCCCTTAAGGCCTCTTCACTTAGAGATTGCCAACTTCAGGGGCAATGGAGGCAGGCCTTTTCAACTGCTGTCCCCCTTCTTTGGAATAGCATTTCCCCTAAAATCCAGATGGACCCTCCACTGCGGAGTTAGAGAAAACCCACCAAAACCTGATGTTTTCAACAGACCTTTGGGTGGGATTATTGTAAGCTGTTCTCGCCTGTAATGTGGAGTGTAATGAATGCATAGTTTTATCTGTCTCTGGTGCTGTGATTTTTTTTTTCAAGAAGGCTTTCAGGACACAGTAGACTACCCAACAATTCTTATAAAACACCGCCCGGTGATTCTTAACTAAGAAGCGAGTCACCTTCTGTTCTATGGGATCTACTCCTAGATACCTAGTTACACAAAGGGGCAGCCTCAGGAACTCACCTGAGGCTGGGTTCACAAATTGTTTTCCGATCAAATCATTACCCTGATGCTGAATCTGGGAGCAAGTTTTCCTGTCTGGTTTGACTTTAAATGCAACACTGCTTCACAAGAGTCCATTTATATATATGCACGTCAGACCTCAGCTACATGAGGGTCAGGTTCTGAGAGACCAAGCAGTGCCCATCCATAGGTGCCAATTAAATAACAGGAGATTCACCAGATGCTGTGCAGTTAGCAAAACATCACAGACAAGTCCAGTTTCCTCAAGAGCCATCACCAGGAGATCTCTCCAGCTCTAAGGCTGCCAACAAACTTTTGAGAACACAAATATCTTTTTCTGGGTACAAGGGAAAAACCAAAACCTGCATTTTTAGGTTTAGTTTCAAGGTTTGCAGAGATAATCAGTCCCTGTTGCATTTTGCAAAGGTTTGCAGAGCCCACTACCAATCTCTCAAATCTGTGTTCTGTTTTACTTGAGATCAACGTTCTTTATTACATATGTTCAATTATCACCAGGCAACTAGGCCATCCAAGCATCATAAAATAGAAGCATTTTATGCTGCCTAATTTTCTCTGGAACTCTACTTCTACCCCTGTCCTTCTCTGGTCTTGCCAAGCATCCTCCATCTGTTTGCCAAACTCTCTGTTCCACCAAGATGGGACTGGCAGGTGCCCAACAAGGCCTGCAGATGGAGTCCCTCCAGTTAGCTTGTGGAAGATTGCTTGTCAACAGTAGGTTCAATCCACTAGAGATTGGCCCTGTCTCTGCTTGGGGTTTTCCATGGAACCCCATCTTTGCCCTCGATCACGAGACTGTTGCCCTCATCTCATCTCCAGACCATTTTTGAAACAACCTGAAGTTATTACAAAGTGGTCCCAAAATACATTTCTCTCTTCACGCTGACATGATTTCAGTAGAACTTTAAAAATGTATAATGGTTTATCCCACTGATTTTGGAGATGAAGTGACTTGATGTCAGTGTGATCAGAGGGTGCGGCCCTCTGGGTGAATTGGAAGGCAGACTCAGACCTTCTCCTGGTTGTAACCTCCCAGGATCTGCTTTCTCCATTAGCACTTTGTTGCCTGGGCTCCTTTCATACCCATCACCTTCCCCACCTATTTTAGCAACCAACTTCTCCTCCAGGTTTCAGGGTAGAGCACACAAACCTCCACTCTTTTATTGGGAGAAGAAGATGAAATGTATTAATGCAATTCCATATGAAAAGTACTGTGAGAAAGTTGGAGGCAAAGCCCCACTTTTCCACACTGCTATGTCTAGAAAAGGATAAGAGAGAGATGGAAAGAAGGCAAGTGTTGCTTATTTACCATTGCCCCAGGTGTGTCAGTTTCAATCATTTCTTCCCATCCTCTGAAGTAAGATACTTGGTTGCTCAGGAGTTAGCTAGCTTGCTTCTTCCTTCCTTCCTTCCTTCCTTCCTTCCTTCCTTCCTTCTCTTCCTTCCTTCCTTCCTTCCTTCCTTCTTTTTGCCTCCCTCTTCTCTATGGCCACTTCTGTTCTCGTGCCTTCCCATATGCTCCTCTATTTCAATTTATTTTAACTTGGGAGGTGCCCAAATGGAGTGTGGGAGGACCAACCCAGAAAAGCCTGGGCAGAATCCCAAAGTCAAACCAGCCCTATTTTTCCTGCAGAATCTGGATTGGTGGGTGTTCTCCCCACTTGCTGGTGACACACCAAAAGGGGCTGGCTGCAAAGCCAGGGGACCCAGCCAATCAGCTTGTCTATAAATAAGTGGTACCGCCATAAATCCAGACCAGACCATTTGGCAGTGACTTGGAGTAGATGCAAAAGAAGGAAGGTCAGATTTAGCAGTTGGGACAGCAGAATTGTTCTGGGCCAACTCAAGAGCAGCAAACAGCATGTGAACTCTTTGGTAGGACAAGCCTATTGAGAAGGGCCAGGCTTAATATGAATGCACATGAGATTCCTATTACACAGGAACACAGGAAGGAACACAGGAAGCTCGACTACAACCCACCAATCCATTTAGTCTGTATTCTCGACATTAGTAAATAAAATTTACTAAAACTCCAGGATTTCAGGCTGGAATTTTTCGTAGTCCTCTCTGGAGAACATAGGACTTTCTCAAAGCATTGTGGTGAACTATGTCCCTCATCCTTCTACTACAGCTGCAGTAACTAGTGAAGTACAGTTTCTTCTTAACCCTAATGTCATTCCCTAATTTTTTATACCACTCTTTATTTTCCAAGAGAGTTGTGCACTTGAAAACAAAACTGGTTGTTATACTACCTAGAACTGGGGGAGGGTGTGTGTGTGTGTGTTATCCCAGTTCATTGCTGTAGCCCAACATTTCCCAACCCAGCAATTTCCAAAGATCCCAAATTTTAGCATGCTGGCTGGAAAACCTGAGAATTGCAGTTGTAACCCATCTGGATGGTGCAGGATGGATCTTGTGTAGCTCATTTTCTGGATTGGATATGCCCAGGCATGGCCCCAATTAACCTTGTGCTTCCAGAGGAGATGACTACAGTACTCTCTCCACAGGAGACAGGGAGGAGGCGCCTTTAAGCAGCATCCACAAAGTTCAGCACATTCACAAAATTACTGTTGCCAGATTACAATCTGAAAGCATTTAGGGTGACTCTCCTCCATCTGCTTCCCTGGGAGAAAGCCACTTTGGATGCAGCTCAACCCTTTGGAGCAAGCAGGAAAACGTGGTTGCTTCTGTTGCAACCAAAGGAGAAGACCACTGAAAATGTGTCATGAGCTGACATCCGCTTTACAGAAAAAAGGGGACCTGCATGGGAGGGAAGAGGCTGAGTGACAGCCATTGGAGCTTCCATGCTTCGTGGCAATCTGTCACCATCTCTGAATATGAAATGCATATGAGGTGTCTAGCTGGCCACGGCATGCAAGGTTGCCTTTGATTGGAGCTTTGTTTTCACATTTGCAAAAGAAGTTGGGAAGGAAACCACAAGTAAAGTCTCCCTCAACTTTTAAATCTATCCAGGTGAGATAGATTATGAGTTTAGAGGTCCAGCAGGGGGAATTGCCTATGGATTTCTCCTCTTGTGAGTGAGGCGCCTTCAAACAGGATGCCAGCTCTGGCTCTTCAGCCCAGCTCTCTGGAGGAGAGAAGTCCCAGATGGAAACTGTGACTTGGTCCAAGGCCTCCCTGTGTATCCCTCCCAAGGAGAGTGAACCCAGATGTTCCAAACCCCTCCATCTTCCTAAATCAAGAACACCAAGTGCCAAAGGTAAGACAGATGGCTGAACTAAGCCACATCTGAACCCAGATGTGCCCCCTCTCAAAAACACCATCCTCCTAAACCAAGAACACCAAGTGCCAAAGGGAAGCCAGATGCCTGTTCTCCCTCCATCCTTCACAATGTCTTTCCCACTGAGTGCCCTCTAGGTGGGGATGATGGGATTGTAGTCCCAGCATACTGACGGGTTTGGAGCGGGAGTGGGGGTGCAGACCAGCGACCCATCCGGGGTTGCTGAGCCTGAGTCTCCTCCGGCTTACCTCCTCCGTTTTTGTAGCAGAGGTAAGGGAACCGCCAGACGTTGGCCAGATCCACCGAAAAGCCGACGACGGAGAGGAGAAAGTCGATCTTCTTGCCCCACGTCTCGCGCTCCGGCAGCGGGGCGGCGCCGGCCGGGCTGTACCTGGGACGGCCGTGCTCCAGGAGGTGGCTGCTGGTGTACTGCACCCCGTTCTGCTCCTTCACCAGGAGGAGCTCCACGTCTTTCTTGGCAGGCGGCGGC